AAAAAAAAAAAAAAAAAAAAAAAATTAAAGGATTTAAGTTCAGCCTGCCCGGTTCTGAAGCCCATGATCCCAACCACTCTGTCACCTGTGGCTCCAGGGGAAGGCCCAGGTGTGGGGATGGGGGACACCAGTAGGGGGCGCTCAGGCAGGCCTCAGTGTCTCCATCTACCATATGCCGAGATGCCACAATGAGGTTGTCTCTTCTGGGTCATTGTGAGAATGAAATGAACGAGGCTGTGTCTGGGAGCCTGCCCAGCTGACAGCAGTGCTTGGGAAGTGTCCCCAAGCACTTGTCCTCTTCCCTCCCTGGATGAGGCCCAGGCAGACAGGTCCCAGTATCCCCTCCTCAACCCCCAGTCCCCTGAGACCCCAGGGGAGATGCCTTGGTCATGAGCAGCCACAATCAGGGCCAGGGCAATGGGAGAGGGGGACAACTGCTCACGTCTGTCCCTTACCGGCCACCCAGCAACTCTAACCACTGCCCTCCCCTTCCCTGGCCCTCCCTGGGAGACACTGAGCTTTCTCATGGTCTTGGGAAGACTCCTTGCTGCCTACTCACTCATCCCTCATTCAAATACTCACAATGGAAGCCGGGCATGGTGGCTTACACCTGTAATCCCAGAACTTTGGAAAGCCAAGGCAAGAGAATCACTTGCCCAGGAGTTCGAGACCAGCCTGACCAACATGGCAAAACCTCATCGCTACAAAAAATAGAAAAATTATCCAGGTGTCATGGTGGGTGTCTGTAGTCCCAGCTACTTGGGAGGCTGAGGCAGGAGGACCGCTTGAGCCTAGGAGGTTGAGGCTGCAATTGAGCTGAGATGGCAATACTGCACTCCAGCCTGGGCAACAGATCACAGAGACTCTGTCTCAAGAAAAAAAAATGTGTACACACACGTACACATACACACACACACACACACACACACGCACACACACACTTACCCTGGAGGCAAGAACTCAGCTTCTGGAGTCTGGTTGCCTATAGTTCATCTCAGCCCTGCCACCTCCCAACGGACTTTCTCTGAGCCTCAGTTTCCTCATCTGCCACGTGGAATTATGAGCTCTGTCAACCCCCAGTACTGTTCCCAGAAGTCAACTGCAGGCCAGGCACAGTGGCTCGCTCCTGTAACCCCAGTACTTTGGGAGGCTGAGGCGGGAAGATCACTTGAGGTCAGGAGTTCGAGGCCAGCCTGGCTAACAAAGTGAAACCCCATCTCTACTAAAAACACAAAAGTTACCCAGGCGTGGTGGCACACACCTGTAATCCCAGCTACTCGGGAGGCTAAGGCAGGAGAATCACTTGAATTCGGGAGGCAGAGGTTGCAGCGAGCCAAGATCAAGCCACTGCCCTCCAGCCTAAGTGACAGAGCAAGAGTCTCCGACTCAAAACTAAACAAAACAAAACAAAAAGAGGCAGCCGGGCGCGGTGGCTCACACTTGTAATCCCAGCACTTTGGGAGGCCAAGGCAGGCAGATCACGAGGTCAAGAGATTGAGACCATCCTGGCCAACACGGTGAAACCCCGTCTCTACTAAAATACAAAAATTAGCCTGGTGTGGTGGTGTGCCCCTGTAATCCCAGCTACTTGGGAGGCTGAGACAGGAGAATTGCTTGAACCCAGGAGGCAGAGGTTGCAGTGAGCCGAGATTGCACCACTGTACTCCAGCCTGGCACCTGGAGACAAAGTGAGACTCTGTCTCAAAAAGAAAGAAAACAGAAGTCAATGGCAGCATGAATTTGAAGCACCAAGGGCGATGCCCATTAGGTGCCACGCACCCACCGTGGCCAGGCCCTGGAGACACAGCCATGGACAAGGCGAAGCTGGCCAGCCTTCAGAGCCCTCGCAAGAGGCAGAGAGGGATGCAATGCTTATCTGCTGCCCGGTATGTCATCGGCTGTCCCAGGGAGGTTCAGGGCCCGGGGAGGTCAGAGGAGGCCCCAAGCCAGACAGAGGGGCAGGGGGTTGGGGAGGGACAAGGAGGTAACAGCCCAGCAGGCAAGGATAGTGGCCTGGGCAAACATCAGGAAGCCCCCAAGACAAAGGTGAGTTCGAGCAACCAACAGCAGTTCAGGCTGACCAGAGAGCAAAGGCTAAAGGGCAGAGGACGCCAGACTGCGGAGTCAGTAGGGCCAGACTGAACCAGGCCTCATAAGCACATAACCATGCCAAGGGTGAGGACTTTGCCCTGAGGTCCAGAGAGGGTTTTAGCAGACGTCTGGCATGGTCAGGTTTTGTTCAACAAAGACCCCTCTGGCTGGCATGTGCAAAGGTGGGGAGAATATGTATGGATGGGGAATCTAGGGAGGCTTCATGGAGGAGGTGACTTGAGCTGAGCCTTGGGAGGGGCAGAGTTCAGATGGTGCAGGAAAGAAGGTGGGCATTCCAGGAAAGGAGAATCACAGGGGTGAAGACCTAGAAGGATGGCATTTCTGAGGCACTCATGCGGGGAAGTGTAAAAGTGGAAAGTGAGGGTGGAAGCTGGGCCCCAGGTTAGGGCACCGCTCAGCAAGGGCTCAGCAGAGCCAGGCGGGCCAGCAGAGCCCCGCCCCCTCTGCAGCTTGGACTTGAGGCAGGTAGGTGTAGAAGGTGGTCCTGGAGGCTCCTGGGGGCGCCTGGAAGGTCTCCAAGCTCATGTCCCTACACGCCGCCCCTGCAGCTCAGTCACCTTACAGGGCGAGCCTCCCGTCTGCTCCACATTCCACGGTGTCGGACAGCCGCCCTCCTCCCCCAGGCCCAGCCCAGGTGCCGCTCATCCATTACAGGCCCCACCGATCCCTCACTGCCGCTCTTCTATTTGCTCCATGACGTATGGCCTCAGGATCCTTCTTATCACGACCCTCCAGGCAGCTACGACAGATTAATTATAGCTGGCATCCAAGAGCAAGCCCTTTTGCCATCCCTGCTCCAAGCAAATCGATCGATTTATAGAAGGGGCGTTGGAGCCCCAGCGAGGGGAAAGGACCTCTCAAGGTCATAGAAGGACTGTCTTATCCAAACCCTTCTCTTTGGTGAGCAGGGCTTGGAATCAACCTCAGGGCTTGCTGGTCCTTAAAGATGCTAAGACCACCAGCAAACACCCAACGCCACCCCAGCCCAGGTCCACTGCAACAAAGACCACCAGCAAACACCCAATGCCACCCCAGCCCAGTGCCACTGAAACCCCGTCAGTCCCGCAGGGACAAGGTAACTGAACAAAGCCTGCCCAGACCCCATGCTCAGGGGCCCCTCCACACGCCCCGTCCTGGGCAGCTGGACTGCTGTCCCCATCAGCACAGAGCCGACACCCCAGCCCTCCACACGGTGTGAGAAAAAGCAGCTACTCACCACTGCTGGACCTCCTTCTCAGTAACTGCAAGAGAAAACAGAAAAGCAGGCTTTTAGCTCAGGGACAGTGTCCTGGGAGGTGGGCAGACATTCACTGGGGGCCTCCCTTCCAGCCCTCCCCTCCCCAAGTGCCATGTCCCTGGGCATCGTCCTGCTCTGGACGAGAAAATGCTCCCTTAAGCAGTCCCAGCCAGGGGCTCTGTTCCCGCCACCCAGGCAGGGGACACTGGCCCCATCCCTTCCCAGCACCCACGTGCTGCCCGCCACTGCCGCTGCTGCTGGGAAAAGCCCAACAACACCCCATGACACTCGAGGGTTCGCTTCTCCCCACAGTCCTGGGAGTAGGCAGACAGTTGTCACTCCCAGACCAACGTCCAAGACATATTCTTTCCCATCTCTCAATCCCTGGGAACACGATGTCAGGGAAGGCCCCGGCTTCCCCAGGCACTCAGCTGCCCACGTGTGTTGGGGGGAGCTGTAAAGGCGCAGCTCTCAGCAGAAGAGCGGACCACCCTCCCCATCGGCCCATCCCCACAGCCCATCTCCATGGTCAGTCCCAGCTCCTTCGCTGGCAAAACATGAACAGAGCCATGAACCAAAAGCTGGAAGAGGCCACAGAAGGCAGCTGAGCCTGGAGCCTCGAGCCACGCCCATAGACTCGCTCTGCTGAGCCATGAAACAAAAACGCTTTTTCTGAAAAGTACAGAATTATTTCAAGTTGGAACCAAATAAACGTTCTCTCTAAGGTAACCGAACAAGAACATCAAGCCACCACCAAGGCCACCTTCGCTCCCTGCCAGTGTGGGCACAGGACGGCTCCTCCTGCACTCCCTGCCTCGGGCACCTCATCCAAAAAGCGGGCATCATAGTACCAGCCCCTGCCACACAGAGCCATTGGGGGGACGCAGTCATAAAGGCGTGGAAGCTACTGGATCCCCGGGGGTGCCATGTACCTGGAAAGGCCAGGCCTGGCATCAAAGAATGTAATTTTCCAAGAGAAAGTTTTGGCAAAGGGTATAGGGTAGGGCCCTCAAATGTGCTCAATACTGGCTTGTGGAAGGAAGGAAGGAAGGAAGGAAGGAGGGAAGGGACGAACAGACTGGAAAGGGATATCATGTACAGGTCAGATGAGTAAAGGAACTGGAATCTATTCCCAGGGAAGTGGGAAGGAAGCCCAAAAAGGTGTCTGTGAATTGTTTGTGCCTGACCAGACTTGAGGAAGCCACTTTTCAAAAACCACTCAAAGCAAGCTCACAGCGGCTGCCAAATACCAAGAGTCCACTGTAAGCCCGAATCTGCGCCCAGGGCGGCCTCTGTGCTTTGGCGCAGCTGCTCTTAGGACAGCGTGGAGGGAGGATGGCGCAACTCTGCCCTGGCTCCGAATGTGGAAACTAAGGCACGAAGAGATCAGGAAGTGGCAAGGCAAGGGTCTGACCTCAGGTCTGCGGCTCAGAGTCCGGCGGCCGGATTCCTGGGCAGGCTAGAAGCCTCCACCCCCGTGCTGGTTAGCGCTCTCCTCCCACAGGCCCAAGTGGGAGCAAGAGACCTGTCTGCAAGCAGGCCTCGGATAAAAAGACAGCAGGCAGGGCGCGCGGCAGCTCACGCCTGTAATCCCGGCACTTTGGGAGGCCGAGGCGGGTAGATCATGAGGTCAAGAGATTGAGACCAGCCTGGCTAACATGGTGAAACCCCGTCTCTACTAAAAATACAAAAAATTAGCCGGGTGCGGTGGCGCGCACCTATAGTTCCAGCTACTCAGGAGGCTGAGGCAGGAGAATGGCTTCAACCTGGGAGGCGAAGGTTGCAGTGAGCCGAGACTGCACCGCTGCACTCCAGCCTGGGAGCAAGACTCCGTCTCAAAAAAAAAAAAAAAAAGAGAGAGAGGAGGCAACAGCGGGAGCCGCCGGTTACCCAGAAACGCCGGGCCTGGAGTCAAAGAAAGCAATTTTCTGAGATAAAGTTTTGGCAAAGGGTATGGGGCAGGAAGGGGTTCAGGGTTTGGCGTAGGGGTAGAGAAGAAAGGTATCCTTGGTCTGATCCCGCCTGGCTGCCTGGGCCTGCCCCCATGATGGCAGCCGGGGCTGTGGGGCGGAGGCTGACAGCCCAAACCTGGAGACGCAGGCAACGCATCATGGTACCAGCAGGAGTTCAGGGCCACAGGTGCTAAAGCCAGACCAGACTGCCTAGGTTCAAATCCAGACCCACAGGGCACTGTGCATCCTTGGGCAAATTGCTTCCCCTGTCTGAGCCTCAATTTTCTCATCTGCAAAATGGGATTGCTGGGAAAATTGAAGTGCTTGCCACCCCTTAGCTTCATAGAAATCCCACAGGGAGATGTGACCCCGTTTTCCCACTGAGGGATTGAGGTTCCGACGGGTCCGCTTATTTGTCTGGTATCACCTGAGGTCCCTTTGCCAGGAAACAGCAGAGCCAGGACTTCGCCCCCGGAGATCAGGACGGGTACACCCCCTTGAGTCTGCATGACCTTGTATGACCTTGGCAAGGTGTTGCAGCATTCAACATAAACAGCAGGAGCTGGTGGCATGGCCACTGCTGACCTTAGCCAGGCCTCACAGTGTCAGAGCGGGGCTTCCCCGGACCGCCAGCTCAGAAGGCCTGCTCTGCCTTGACCCCCGCTCCATGTCTCCCAGCAGCCCTCCCCCAGGGCTCTCTGCCTCTGCCTCAGCCTCCACGTCCTTCCTCACCCCCACTACACCCCCAGGATGCAGCAGGGTGGCAGGAGGAGACTCCATGACTAGGGTTCTCCCCATTAGAAAGGCCCCCCACAGAGCCCCAGGAGATCAGCAGGGGGCCAGGCCCCAGGGAACTGGAGTTCGGGTGCGGAGATAAGCCCGGCCCATGCTTTAAGCAGTGAATTGACCTTTAGGAAGCAGTTGATGCCAGCAGGTGTCCCCTGATACCCAGCCAGGAGCCAGCAATCCTAACTGCTTCACTGCCTGGGACCTTGGACGGTCTTTTTTTTTTTTTTTTCTGGAGACAAAGTCTCCCTCTGTCACCCAGGCTGGAGTGCAATGGCGCCACCTCGGCTCACTGCAACCTCTGCCTCCCAGGTCCAGGTGATCCTCATGTCTCAGCCTCCCAAGCAACTGGAACTACAGGCATGAACCATCACGCCCAGCTAATTTTTTTTTAGTAGAGACGGGGTTTCACATGGTGGCCAGGCTGATCTCAAACTTCTGACCTCAAGTGATCCACCCGCCTCAGACTCCCACAGTGCTGGGATTAGGTGTGAGCCAGCGAGCCTGGCCTTGGAAGGTCTTGAAGACAACAGGCAGAGGAAATCTCTGGGGTCCTGGCCACCTGCTCCCAGTCCTCCCGCCAGCCAGGGAGCTCTGGCATGGGTCAGGCTGTCCTTTGTCCCAATTCCAGCCGCCTGCTGAGCAGCTACCACCCCAACCTGGAGAGGAAGCTGAGCTGGGGGGAGGCGACTGAAGGAACGTGCCACGGTCTCAGCCTCAGCTGGGTTTGCCCATCACCAAGGCCTGTGTTCTCAACCACTCTATCTGGGCCTCCAGAAGCTCAACTCTTCCTAGATCACCTTCGAGACCCTTCTCTGTCCAGCTGTCCAGTGATTCACTCAGGATTTTTCTTGAAATCATCTCAATTTGCTTTTACTTGCCTGCCTAATCAAGCTTCAGCCTAAGCAAAAATATCCATAAGTTACCAGTGACTCTGCTGGTGGTATCTTTTCTACTACACAATAAAAAATATAACAAATAGGCTGGATGCAGTGGCACATGCCTATAATCCCAGTTCTTTGGGAGGCCGAAGCAGGCGGATCATGAGGTCAGGAGTTCAAGACCAGCCTGGCCAACATGGTGAAACCCCATCTCTACTAAAAATACAAAAATGAGCTGAGTGTGGTGGCGAGTGCCTATAGTCCCAGCTACTCAGGAGGCTGAGGTGGGAGAATGGCTTGAATCCAGGAGGTGGGGGTTGCAGTGAACCGAGATCACACCACTGCATTCCAGCCTGGCGACAGAGCAAGACTCCATCTCAAAATAAATATATATATATATATTTTTTAATATATAACATATTATCTATAATATATTATATAATATGATATATATAATATATAATATAATATATAATATATTACATAATATATATATTATATTATATATTATATAATATATTATATAATATATAATATATATTATATATAGAGATATATAATGTATAATATATAATATATTATATATAATATGTTATATATATTATATATATTATGTTATATATAATATATCATATATCATATCATATATTATAATATATATAATATATATACTAATATATATTATATATATATTAATTGTGTGTGTATATATATATATAACTAATTAAAATAAAAAGCCACCATCCTTAATCAAACCTGCCCTGCCTTCAACCATGAAACAACTCAACATCATGTACCCGTTAACTGATGCAGTGGAAGGATGCATTATCCATGGAGGTCTCCTGCCAAAAAATAATTAACCTGAGTCTAACCACGAGGACGTAATCAGACAAATCCCAGGCTTCGGGACATTCTACAAGACAACTGACCAGGACACTTCAAGTTGGGGCCAGGAAAGGCAAAGGAAGTGAGAGGATTGTTCCGGAAAAGAGTCTACACAGACGAGAAAACCAAATCTAACTCCAGATGCCCGGATCGGGTCCAGATCAGGGGGGAAAACCAGTTGCCGTGGCTGTCACTAGGCCAGCTGGGAAGCCGCGCTGTGGACTGGCAATGAGGTGCTGCCATAGGGATGAGGTAAGGTGGTAACAGCACTGACGCTAATGCCCTTTTTCTTTCTTTCTTTCTTTCTTTGAGAAGGAGTCTTGCTCTGTTGCCCAGGCTGGAGTGCAATGGCATGATCTCGGCTCACTGCAACCTCCGCCTCCCAGGTCAAGTGATTCTCCTGCCTCAGCCTTCAAGTAGCTGGGATTATAGGCACCTGCTACCACACTTGGCTAATTTTTGTAGTTTTGGTAGAGATGGAGATTCACCATGTTGTCCAG